TCAATCAATCAATCAAAAAAAAAAAAAACAAAAAAACAAAAAAAAAACGCCGCTTTCAGACCCCGCGCAAGTGAGAGTCTGTGTGTGTGTGTGTGTGTGTGTGTGTCTGATTCGGTGGGGGTGGGAGGGGCGACCCATCCCCCACCAATCAATCAATCAATCAAAAATAAAAAAGGAAAAAATATATATCTGTTTTTAGTCTGGTTTTGTTTTTGATTTTTTAAAAATAATTTAAATGCTCAAAAAATAAAAATAAAAATAAAAATATAGGGTTGTAGAGAGCAAAAAAATATACACCCCCATTCTTTTTATTTTTTTTTTCACTTATGTTTTGCCTGCAAAAAAAAATCCGCGGGCCGAGTTGTACTACGTTCAACTCGGTTCAACGGGGAGTTGAAACGGGAGTTAAACGGGAGTTGAACCGTTCAACTCAAAACCCCCGTTGAATCCGATTTCGAACACATAGCCGATCGCTAACGGACCTGGACGAGTAGGAGCGTTAATGGAAGAAATGAAAGGAGGTGGAAGTGCGTTAGCTACGATGGAAGAATCGACTAAACTCATTCCGTTGGATTAGTATGTAACGCTTGCTTATCCGGGATTGGGCATGGTCGGAACAATTCGACCCGCTTTAGAACCGAGAGAATTGGCGGAATGATGACCGTCTTCAGGAGAAATGGAGTCAGGAGGACCCACCTTCGTCACCGGGGAAATCGAAGTTTTAAACATAGTTCGGGCATTTGATCATCGGATTCCTCTTCCGATCGGTCATCTTCTATCGATATCAGAACAGGTCAACGAACGCATGTTACAACGTTGTAAGGCGAACCAAAAGCAATTCGCCCTCGCTCGAACAACGAACACGAAAGGAAATAGTCCAATACAAGATAAACACGTTGTTGGTGGTTCAGACCTGATACGTTTAGGACTAATTCAGAAAGATGATCACTTTTTACGGATTAAATCGATTCCGTGGAAATCCGCAGAATGTGACATCGAACTATGGGGAGTCCCATACAATGCCATTATCGATCAGGAGCAGTTGTTTTAGCTATCTCGCTACGGGTAGTCGGAAAAGTAGGAAGAAAGAAGGATTTGATTATGCTTACGAAAAAAGATCAGCTCGTTTCAGCAGATGAGGAAAATATCAAAATGGTGGGACGAATGACCAATGTTGCTTTTCGATTGGGAAAGGTCCATGCTCTGGGAGATGTCGTGGTATCAGACATGAACACTTATGACGTTCTTTTGGGCCTACCCGCCCTTATGGCTCTGCGGGTCAACCTGGACTTCGAAAGATGATCAATTATCCTCCGAAATAGGGGAGGAAAACTGTATGTCGTACCCATGAGACTGACCCTTCGTACCACAACTACGGTAGCCCCTCGAGTTTCGCTAAGGATGGAAGGAGCTCTCCGCGTGGTTACTTGGGAAAGCCCCGCGGATGATGAGCAATCATCGGGTGATGCGGACTGCAGTCATGATGATGATGAGGAAATTCTCGAACTAGCGCAACTGCGCATCTACTACCCTGCGCAACGAGCAAGCATGAGACTGTTGAGCCTAACTGAGCGGAACTTGCAAAGGACACAAGCAATGATTCTGGGTAAGCCTCTCGTATAGATATCGCGGATGGTCGATTCTCAGGAACCCCCTCGATTCCTCGAACCCTGTACGAAGGCATCTCCCCTCTCCTTGCACGATATAACGATAAGAGGCACTATTGCAACATTACGAACCTGCCACGATCTCTTTTGCCACCAGAAAAAGAGATACGACTGCTACGCTTAGGGGCGGGGCCAATTCTTTGAAACCCCCTGAGCGCCTCGAAACCGGATCTAACGGTCTTGGAGTAAAGATCGCGACGAGACCAGTGTCGTGGCAGGATATTAGTGATGGCATAACCCCAGAAGAACACGTGGCAATACGGGAAGAAGATGCGCAGATGATGGCTACAATGTTTTTTTGGCCACAAGATAACTCCTTCATCTCCGCACCGCCTCTTGAACATACTAAAGCCGCAAATACCAAGAACATCGACGTACAGATATGGAACCAGTTGTACGTGATTCATCACCTAATCGCGGACATTCTAAAGGAATATCAGGGTGTGATAAGCGTGACTGACACACGCATCGGGCTATCGCTACGGATAGCTATCCCGTGCTCACAATAGCGAGTAGAGGCGCGCAGTGATGCGCGGGCATTCGGACCCTGTGCGCGAGTGCGCGCAGTCGTATGTGGGGCCGCGCGTTCGATCTTGACGGTGTGTAAGTGTGTGCGTGCGGGTGCGCGGGTGGAAGTGCTCAATCGCGTGCCCGCGCGCGTGAATCCGCAGGTGCGCGGGTGGTAGTGCTCAATCGCGCGCCCGAGCGTGCCTGTTCGCGCGGGTGGCTGTGCACGATCGCGCGCCCGTGCTCGCGTGTCCGGAGGTGCGCAGGTAGTAGCGCTCAATCGCGCACCCGTGCGTGCCTGTCTGCAGGTGCGCGGGTAGTAGCGCTCTATCGCACGCCCGTGCGTGCCTTTCCGCAGGTGCGCGGGTGGTTGTGCACGATCGCGCGCCCGTGCTCGCGTGTCCAGAGGTGCGCGGGTGGCAGTGCGCAGTCACACCCCGTGCGTGTTTCAGTGCGTGTTCCGTCTCGCGCGCCTCCGCTCCGTGATCCCCCGTACCTGTTCGGTGTGTGTGTCCCTGTTCATCTCCCCTCCCGTCTGTCGTGCTTCCCGTACGTGGAGTTCTCATGCGCCCCTCGTTCGCGTGTCCCAGGAGCGTCGAACTCCCCTCCACC